CAGCCCCAGCCCCCATGTCCTGCCCCTAGTGCCCTGAAGGGTGGAGGCAGGTGGGTGGCCCTGCAGTGGCTGGCCTTTACAGACATCATGGTGGCAGAGTACGTGGAACATGGACCCCTAGATGTGTGGCTGCGGCGGGAGAGGGGCTGCGTCCCTGTGGCCTGGAAGGTGGTGGTGGCCCAGCAGCTGGCCAGTGCCCTCAGTTACCTGGTGTGTAGCCTGTGGGTGGGGCCTGGGTTGGCGGGGAGGGCCAGGGTGGCCTCAGCACTGGGTATAGAGACCTCAGTACATCCTTCAGTCCACACACTGGCCCCAGGAGATCTTCCCATGAACTTCCTCTGCTCACACACCCATGTGGCTCCCATCTCTCCCAAGAGAACACCTAACCTCTCCGTTTGGTGTCTGAGGCCCTGTGGGGCCTGGCCTCAGCCGTCTGTCACTCTCTCTTGCCATTCATGCCCCCTCCTAGTCCAGTCACTCCAGTTTTCAGAGCATCCTCCACGTGCCAGGCTCTGTCTTAGACCTTGAGGGTACACAAAGAACAAAACAGACATCTCCATCCTTGGAGAGCCAGTATTTTAGTTGGAAGGGATACATGAGAAATAATAAGTACATTACGGAACACGTTAGAAAGTAGTAAGAACCATGGGGGAAAAGCAGGGGTGCAGTTAAGGAGTTGCTGAGGTTGGGGAAGAGAAGTTTTAAGTAGCTGGTTTGGGGAAGGAGCAGGCCTGACATGGGTTTGAGTATAGCAGCGGGGTCCTCTGGCCTTTTGTCCCTGGCCAACAGCCAAGGCCACCAGCTCTAGGAGAACGAGAAGGACCCACTGGACACCCAATGATGCCCAGTCACAATGACAATGTGATTGTCTCTTCCACATGGTCTGTCCCTGTGGGATGGTGTGGGGACAGGATCTGTGGGTCCCCAGTGGTCATGCTCCCTCTTCTTCCTACCCCAGGAAGACAAGAGCCTGGTGCACGGTAATGTGTGTGGCCGGAACATCCTGCTGGCACGTCCAGGGTTGGCGGAGGGCACCAGCCCATTCATCAAGCTGAGCGACCCCGGCGTGGGCCTGGGTGCCCTCTCCAGGGAGGGTGAGGACCGGGACAGGGCTGGGCAGGGGGACCAGCTTCCCCCACTCCTTTCACCCTCCATGACCTCTGGCCCTGGCCCCCAGAACGGGTAGAGCGGATCCCCTGGCTGCCCCCGGAGTGCCTGTCTGGTGGGGCCAACAGCCTCAGCACAGCAGCTGACAAGTGGGGTTTTGGCGCCACCCTCCTGGAGATCTGCTTCAACGGGGAGGCTCCCCTGCAAGGCCGCAGCCCCTCCGAGGTACATCCAGGGACCCTTGGGCCCTTCCCACAAAGAGGCCAGCACGTCCAAGGAGTCTAGAGGGCACATTCAGGGTCCAGAGCTGCCCCCTCTGGCCTGTGGCCTCACATACATTGCCTTATCCCTTTGAGGTTCCATCAGGTTATCTGGTAATTGGAAATAACTGTAGTTCCGACCTCATAAGGTCATTGTGGCACACAGCAAATAAGTGATGTGTTTCAGTTTTAAATACAGTGGCCAGGGCAGCAATGGGGCAGTCGCAGGCTGTAGTGGGGAAGGTGTCCCAGAGGCTACCCCTGACCCAGCCGAGGGGTCAAGCAAGGCTTCCCAAAGGAGTTTTTAATCTAAATGCAGAAACACTGCAATGGCTCAGGCCAGAGAAGGGCAGCCTAGGCACAGCCTGTGCAGATGCATTCAGGAAGCTGCATCTGCTGAGCTTCCTGCAAGCAGAGGGGGTGGAAGCCAGGAAAAGAAGGGCCAAGTGTGAGATGCTCCACATAGCAGTCTGCTGGACTTGGGTTCCAGTCCTGGCTCTCTGGTGGCAGGCAAGTTGGCTTCTCTTTGCCAAGGCTCAGTTACTTCATCTGTAAAGTGGAGATGACAGAACAAGGACCTGGCCAGTCCAGCCCTGTTGCTGGGGGGGTTTGACTCTGCCTCTTGGGAAAGGGGACTTGGGAAGGGGCGGGGTCACTGACTCCTTCAGGTTCCCTTCCCCACAGAAAGAGCACTTCTACCAGAAGCAGTACCAGCTGCCTGAACCCTCGTGCCTGGAGCTGGCCATGCTTACCAGCCAGTGCCTGACCTATGAGCCAGCCCAACGGCCGTCCTTCCGCACCATCCTGCGTGACCTCACTCGGCTGCAGCCTCAAAGTGAGCCTTACCCCTGTGCTAGGTCCTTGGGTCG